TTTAACTTCACAAACTTTTGCAAAACGCAAAAATTGCAAAAATTTAATCCCCGCAAAATACCGTACAGAAGGAAATTTTGGAGGGACTAAATTTTGGCGAATTGCTAAATTTTGGATGATTGGCAAATTTTAATTTGGCGAATTTGTGGCCATGTGCCATTGAGCATGCGCATAATGGCTCAAAATGGCAAATTTTTATTTTGGCGAATGGCTATCAAAACGCCAAATTCGCCAAATTTAACTACCTCCAAAATTTCCTTCCATACGGTATATGGCATATACGGTATTTACTTTTCTAATTCAAGGACACAGTCAATTCCTTGTACTTTTGCTTCTTCAATAATTTGTTTCTTAAATTCTTTCACTGGTGTACCCTCAGCAACAATAGATTCCATTATAAACTTACAAAACTAAAAACAAAATATCAATACAAAGTGTAACAATTACCGTATTTCCTCGAATAAGGGCCTAGGCGTTTATTGCTTAACAGAGGCAAAAATCACGAAAAAAAATTGCAAAACCCAGGATCAAACCCGTAACTCTATGTCTTGAGGACTGAGGATGAACAGTTAGGCTATTTGGACCACTCTAACCACTGATGTACATAATACTGGCTCAAATATGTGTATCTATAGTGGTAATATATTAGCAAGAGTACATAATCTACAGAGAGTGTCTAACCATACTATAATAGCTGAAACATCACCGCGTAGCCTTTTCTTGTGCATCTTTGGGCATTCCCGCATACTGGGTGTGGCTGAGTAGGAAAAAATGGCTGCCAAGTTTGCTCAACAAGGTTTACTGGCTGTTTTGGTGCCTCTGCTATAGCAGTACTGCATATCAGACTTCAGCAGCATTATAAAGTGTACTAGTATGATGTCTAAAGCTTCTTCAAGTTTTCTCCACTGTTTTTTATGTTAACTTCTACACGTGTTTTTTAGTAAGTACACCCACGCTTCTGGTCTCACGTGACTTAGTTCTACGCGGTCATGTTTCAGCTACTATAGTGCGGTTAGACACTCTCTGTAAATTATGTACTCTTGATATTAGTGATAGGCGCTTATTTGAGTAGGGCCCTTATTCGAGGAAATACGTTAAATATTCTTATACCTCTGTATTGTTAACTTGTAATAAATACAATGTAATTCTGTACTCTCCTTCTTGTAATGCTCTACCCAGTCTTACTATCAGCTAGGAGATGATATACAAAGTAATAAATAATAGAAGGCTATTACACAAAACCACCTCTGATCCAGAATCAATATACTGTAAGCTTGATGTGCTATCAAGTCTGTTTATTTCGTATTCTTTATTATCACTGATTTTATACACTATAAAACCAGTAGGTGGTATACCAATCAGTGGAACTAACTCTTCCTTCAATTGAGCTAATGTCATTCTCTTATCAACTAGTACTTGTACCTCTGTATTGAATAATATAATGTTTACATTAATGTTATTACAATTAAGTTTACTTCTTTCTTTTCCTTTATATTCTTCCTTCATTGGTACAAACTTCATTATTATCCCTCCTT